CCCCCCACACCCACACCCACACCCACACCCACACCCCACCCCACACCCACCCACACCCACACCCACACCCACCCCACCCACCCACACCCTTATACAATCGTTGATATTCAGTTTCATCTGATAAACAATACACATAGGAGAATATACAATTTCATTTGAAGTATAAAAATTACTTGCAAGGAAACTGCCAGAAGTGATCCACCGCTTTTGAGCTCATATTTTGGGTATATAGAGAGGGTCTCTAGACTAAAATAACCCTAAAAGGGTTCGGACCCATAGGCCTCCTTTATACAGTTTTAGCAATTTTATTTGAATTTCAGTTTATGACACGGTATGTACAAACAAATTGACTGACGATATTCTGAACTGAAATTTTCTTCACAGATAGGCCTACTTGTAATTAGAATGCTCTGAAAATTTCAGCTGAAAAGAATGTTTTCTTCGTGAGATATTGAATGTCGATAAAACATGAGATTTTCGCATCTTTTATGAGATCTGAGTGATTTTTGAAAATTCAATATCTCGCGAAGGAAACATCCTATTTAGCTGAAATTTTCAGGGCATTCTAATTACAACTAGACCTATCTGTGGACAAAATTTCAGGTCGAAATATCGCCAGTCAATTTATTTGTATATACCGTGCCATAGGCTAAAATTCAAGTAAAGTTGCTATAACTCTGTAGAGGAGGCGTATGGGTCCGAACCCTTTTAGGATTATTCTATTCTAGAAGTTCTCTCTATATGCCAAAAATATGAGCTCAAAAGCGGTCGATTACTTCGAGCGATTCCTTCGTTAGTTTAGTACGATCAGAAAGAACTTGTGCTGTATATTTAAAACCTAAGATTTCTTTTGCCCTAGAGGTGTGAGTGTGGATGTGGGATGTCAGGATCTAATCTCCTTCCACACCCATACTACACCCACACATCCACACCCGTATCCACACCCACACATCCTTCAAAATCGATGCTGTTTATCACAAGAAAAGCAACTGGATTTTTTCGTGGTCTTTATAAAAAGATGGAGTAGTGTCGACTCTCGTTAGTGTTGAAAACCTGAGGCATTTCTCTCTTTTTGTTTTAAAGTTATTCAAAAAATACCCACGTCCATTTAACTCTAAAATGGGCATTAGTATAGATGTAATCGATACGTGACAAGTGAACCAGTTATCGATTATCGAAAAATCAACGTCTGCTGTCAACTACTATCTTTCTAGATGTTAGTTGTTCGTCTTTACCTGGTTTTAGTGTATATTTTTTGGTTTATTGATTGTTTTGATTTATTTATCTCTTTTTATTGATTGACTTTCGTATGTTTCATTTTCAACGTTTAAGCAAAGTGGCGCCCGATGAAACAATTTTCAGCATAATTTTTACGAGATGGTTGAAGATGTGAGAATTCACCACACCACATCCACGCCTGCATATCCCCGCATCTAGCACTCTCGAATACTGATTGCTCTTGTCAATAGATGACATTAGATTCTGATTGAAGTTGTCGACCTCTTTAAATGGTTTTTTCCTACTGGTGAGAACCGGTCTATTCACGAGCGTTTTTTAAAGAAGGAAAAACTTACTTACGTTGTCGCATGTCAAATATACGTCATGAGAATGCGTCGCAATAGTTTTTTGTTCCTCTTTCTTTTTTTTTACTTTGCATTCTTTAGCAAAGTTGTCAAATCAGTGATTCCTAGTAACTGTGAGCATAATTGTTTTTTTTCATGTTTAATTTAATAAAACAGACTACCAATCAGATACAGAATATGAACTCATTTAACATGCTAGAAAGCTCATGGAGTGAATTTCAGATGGAAGCTACTCTGTTTTATTTATTTATTTTTTTATGAAACAAGATTGTTCATAGATGTCAGAGTATAGAGCGAAAATGTTGACTGCATTTTTTTCTTTCCTTAGACTGTGTAAGACATACTTGCTACAATGTGTAACGCAGTAGGAATTATTCTACATGATAGTTGATAGATTTTGATAGACTTGGTGATATTTCTTCATTATAGTAATAATGTTTTCGATCCCATAAGTATTGGACTGAAAGCTAATTTTATTGTAGAACTCACATAAAAATCTTTGAAAAAAATTGTAAGTAGAAGTTCTCAGTCGCAGTTTTGTGGCTTCTTCCTCCCTATAACAAACCTTATCAGCTGGAATTAGAAGTGATGAACGACAACAATAAAAGATCTTAGTAAGTTCTAGAACATTCTTTGAAATCTAAATGGTTTGAATACGTTTTTTCAACATTCTAAATAATGTAGTTTCTCATTTTCGTATAGATGAAAATTTATATCCAAGATATCAAGGATGATGGCTCATGATACATCGATTTACCACATGTGTCATAAGATCAACATAAAAAGCGCAAATCGATCAAGTTATACCCTTGAGAAATAATCGCTATCAGTGTTTATGATTTGATCAAGATTTATAGTAGTGCATTAAAACCTGCTGCTGTAAATATAGGCATAGTAGATGTTTACAACAGCTTTATCTGCTTTGCAATGTGATCTTGATAATAGTAGCGATGTTAACATAAGGAAAGCAAAATACATAAAAGAAAGACAATGAGCAATTAGCAACGAAGCAAACAGAATATAGGATAGTCGTAAAAAAGCAAAAATTCAGCTGTACTAGCAAGTTTTTTTATTATAATCATTCATGATCATGAATTTAGAATATATGTAATAGAAACCTGTCATCGACATCTTACTATATGAATTCGACGAAATCAAAAACAAACGATTCCTGCTCACAGAAGAAGCTTCATGGCAAGAAAAGTTTCTTAATCAATAAAGAACATGAGGAAAACAAGGAAAATATAACAATAATTTATTTCAGCTCGAATTCAAACAAAAAAACCATAAAACGAATTAATATGCTGCAAGAAATTAATGATTATGTACTCTTGTATACAAACATTGATCAATGTATTACTCGTATACAAACAATCAAAAAGGAGAAAATTATTTTCGTTACTATTGGAAAGAATTTAGCAAATATTTTGTATCACATAGAAAATATTCGACAGATCGATGGTATATTCATTTTCTCAAACAAAATCAACAAATATGATCAATTCAAAGAGAAGGTTACTGGTATTTTTAACAATAATGGTGACATGATCGCTGCAATACGTAAGCACATGAAGATAATTCAAGAACAGCTTCAATCTTTTAGTTTCTATCGTCACAACCAACGTTATATTCGCAAATTAACTGATACTTCAGCAGAATTTCTTTGGTTTCATGTTTTTAAAGATGTTGTTATTCGATTGCCACATGATGTTCATGCCAAACAAGAGATGTTGGATGCATCAAGACATTATTATCGTAATAACATTCAAGAATTAAAACGTATTGATGAGTTTGAACGAATGTATCAATCGGAAGAGGCTATTAAATGGTACACGAAAAATTCTTTTGTCTATCGTTTAATTAACAAAGCCTTAAGAACGGAAGATGTAGAACAAATGTACACATTTCGATACTTTATTCAAGATTTATATTCGGCACTTGTTGTCAAACATAAAGTTTTTAAAGAATATGGTGAACCGATTACAGTGTATCGTGGTCTTCGACTGACTCAATATGAATTCAATGAACTTACAAAGGATGAAAAACAATTAGTATCTATGAATGGTTATCTATCGACAAGTCTTACTCGAAGAGTAGCCGAAATCTATGCAGGAGAACCAACATCAATGTCTGATAAATTATCAATCTTGCTCGAAATCGACTGTGACGTAGAAAAATTAGGTGATACAGTCATTTTTGCAGATATTTCATCAGAAAGTAATTTTCGCGATGAAAATGAAATTCTCTTCGACATTGGTGCAACATTTCAATTGACGGCTACACCGAAACAAAATGATAATGGCGTATGGAATTTGACAATGATTGCTACTGATGAAGGTCGAACAATTGTACGCAAATATATCGATGATCATCTCGAATTTAGCAGAGATATGAGCGCAAAAATCATGTTTGGTGTATTGTTATATAGCATGGGAAAATACGATTCGTCTCTATCATACTTTAATAAGCTAATTGAAAATCCTGAAGGCGAAGACATTGCTTTGATTCACGTACATATAGCGAGAGCATTGGACATACGGGGTGATAAGAACAATGAATGGAAACATTATGAATATGCATATAAAATAATCACAGAAACCGAATCAAAACGTTTCGAAGATGAAGCTCGTGTCCTTCTTCATATGGGTATTTTTTGTTTTGATAGAGATGAAAACGATCGAGCACTAGAATATTTGACGCGTGCTCTTCACGTATTCGAACAAGTTTATGGTGACACGGGTGCGGAAGTAGCTCGAGCTTTACTTTGCATCGGAGGATGTTATGAGCAAAAAGGTGACTATGATCGAGCTATAGAATTCAATACGAGAGCATTGAAAATACATGAAGAATGCGCAAATCCAAATCATTTAATACAATGTCAAGTACTTATTGCACTTGGTAATACTTATCGTTTACAATGTAAATATGAAGATGCATTAGTTCAATTTCAACGTGCGTTAGATATAAGAACTCGAACTTTACCCGAGTACCATTCTGATATTGCTGATTGCTTATCATTGATAGGAAAAACTTTAGGTGACATGGATAATCCAAGTGAAGCAGTCATGTATTCGATGCGTGCATTACACATGTATGATAAAACATTACCAGAGACAGAGTTAAATGAAAAGAGTTCTGTACTGGTCGATATTGGCATCGGATTTTCTGCTGTTGGTGCTGATCAACTTGGAATTGATTATTTTCATCGGTCGCTTGCCATGAAAAGGAAATGTCTACCGCGAAATCATCCTGATTTTGCCACTATATTTGAAAATATAGCTCTCAATTACAGTCATTTGAATAAACATATGCTAGGATTAAGATATTCATTGAAAGCATGTCGTCTACGAAAACGAATACAAACATCGAATCATCCAGATATGGTTGGAACATTGAAAGTTTTGGCGTTGGTATATACAAAAATGGGTTGTTATAGGAGAGCAATGCATTATCTTATGCGAGCAAAGAGTATATTAAAGAGAGCAGCACCAAACGAAGATCCTAAATAGATTGATGTGAAAAATCAAATCGTACAGGTTAAAAAGAAAATTCAAAGAGAGAAATACTATATTGGTAAAAGAAAAATTTGGAAACCAAAGAATTGGAAAAGATTTTATTATTTGAAATTGTTATCTACACTTTCAAACATTAACTTAAAGTTCTGCTCCAACTTACCAGAATTTATTTAAACCTTTTCAATAAGGACGAACATTCGAGTCAAATTTTGACAGTGCCTTAAATAACCTATTCAAAACTACCATACGACATATATTTCAAAAACGATGATTTGAAAAAGAATTTGTCGAAGGGTGGGGTGTGGGTGTGGGTGTGAGTGGGTGGGACTGTTAATATTCTCTCTTACAACGCCCACACTCACATTCAAACCAACACCCACACCCCCTCGACACACACTCAACCACACCCACACTCTCTTAAATGTAGGTTCATAATATCGAGATGAATCGCGCATAGTCTGATATTTAATAATCAATTCATATAACTTCTTTTGGTCGTATGTGATGGTTTTTCGAAAAAACGACGGAAACACGGCGAGTAGATTATCAATCCTTATTTGGCATCGAACAGTAGCTGAGTTTATCGTTAATTTAAGTGAACAATATCGATAGATGATACTGTGATTTTAATTAAGGTATTTCTATGGGAACGAATGCTACATGTCTGATGATATCTATCAGTACACCACATTGTCTCCCGTCTTAGAAGTATATGTGAGATGGAGATATTTATGCATTCCTTCCAGAAGTACATTTACTGACAATGATTTCTAGATTCATTGAGTATATACTGTGTGGTGAACTTTTATTTTAAACAAAAATATCAACTTGTCTTTTTTTATGAAATTTTTGCAGTAGTCTCGAAGTTTGTTTTGTTTCTGATTTTTTTATATTCAAGCAGTGAACATGTCAATTATATATATATTTGTAGTACTCGAGATGCTCTATCGAATGAAAAAAAAATGCTGAAACACTTCCGTATTATAGTGAAATGTGACCCAAAACAAAAAAGTGGTGCGAGACTTATGACGTCCACTGTATATGCACGTTTCACACCTCATGGCAGTATTCAAGAAATGTGTAATGTATTACGAAATGACGGCAATTAAATTTAAATATTACAATAAAAATTAGGAGTCATTTTTTTTTAGGAATAAAGTTTACTTCTGATAGCTCTACGTTTAATTATACATGGTGTAGAATAGATCAAAATAAAAAAAAAACAGAATGAAAATTAAATTAATTTACGTAAGAATGTCTTTAAATTGACCATATTAAATATAGACATGAAATCATTTTTCATCGTGATTGTATCGTTAAATGTTTCGACAATGGGCTTTATTGGATCAATTTTTTCGACAATACAATTTGCCAGCCATTCGAAACCTTCACGAAGACCTTGATTTTGAATAGCAGATGCTGGTTGTAAACGCAATTTGGTATTCGTATTGAGTTTAGCCAAATGGAGTTTGTCTCGAAGTTCATCAAGAGTCATTGCATCGGGCAAATCTTGTTTATTGGCAAATATGAGAATAGGTTTTTCTCGAAGTTTGTCTTTATTCGCCATTAAATGAAGTTGTTCACATGCTTGATCAACTCTATCTCGATCATGTGAATCGACAACAAAAATCAATGCTGACATTCTGTCGTAGTATTGTTGCCATAAAGCCCGACTTCCTAAACGTCCACCAATAACCCAGACCATTATAGAAGCCTCATTAATTTCTATTTTTTCGTAATCGATACCTATTGTTGGCATAATTGTAGCACCTTCACCATGTTTTATCGTGTAGAGAATTGTTGCTTTACCTGAATAAGAGTGACTACATATGAGATGTGTAAATTAAAAGAATTATATTTAATATTTAAACATTAAAACAAAGCTCTTCATTAAATGCACAAAATATTTTCTGGAAAAATTACACTTTGCACCACCTTTTTCATTCCAAACACCGGTTGAAGTAGGCCGTTCTGATCTTCGGACATAAGGAAAGAGGCAGGGTGTTCGTAATTATGTTAAGATTTACTGGTCTTTGAGAGAATGTGAACTGACTCGCTTGTTTTATAGTCATTTCTGTCTAAAAAAACAAAAAAATGAGTCTTTATATTCGTTACGATTTCCTAGTGAATTCTTTTACGAACTCCTTGTCAATGTCATTCTATTGCTCCAGACTTTTCATGTAAAATATCCTTAGATTTACACTCTGAACATCTGATCTTGTTCATTACGATCTCCAGGGATACACAGGTATACCAAAAAGCATTGTATTCCGAACATCCAGTCAAACCATTCCGATTTCCCTGCTTTTCTGTTACGATCTCTTGTGAACAAATGTTTACGAACTACTGTCATAAATATTTAAGGACAAAAATTCATTTCCGAACACCCGAACTCATGTCTGGAGTTCGGAAACGGATGGTGCGAAATGTAATTTAATTAGATCAGAAAAAACCTGGAATTTTTGACAGATCGGATCAGATTATGTTCATAGACTATGGACGATGAGCCAGATGACAAAAACAAACGTATGTACATACGTACCAGCTGCAAAGGGTCCAACTATGAGCACTGATGGTGGCTTATTTGTCTTGTCAACATATGTCACTCCCTTTTTCGATGATGAACTCATTTGCTTGGACAATGCTTGTTGTTATGACCGATGGTCGACTGAAGTTACAATTTTATGCTTTCTGTTATAAATATTAATTACGATGCTTTACAATGAAGAAGTGTGACTAAGAGGCATGTTATATACTTTTGTTCGTATACGTGGCAAAAATTACACAACCATAATGCAATTCTTCTTGATGAATCACGCTAGAGCCGAACGTTGTAAAAACATAATAATATCGCTTTTGATGACAACAATCTCAAGACACATAGAAAGAGACGTATTCTGCAGATGAAATATAAGTGTAGTGGACAGAAAAAGTTTAGAAAAATCTTGCTTTTTATCCAACTTTCTTCGTGAGAAGGTCTCATCCCTCATAAATTACCAAAATCTTATCTAATGAAAACCTTCAGAAATATGATACAAAAATTTTATTGAGAAAAATATTGAAAAATTCATACTTCTTCAATCAAAGTTTGTGGGGCTACTTTCATTTTTACTGTCGGCAACATTGTGCTTGTGAACAACGCATTGTCAGATGCACATAATCTTTACGTTGGATCATCTCAATAGTAAATTGCGTTTGATATATCTTTCTTTCTTTTTACAGCCTTACCATTTCAATGTGTTCGTTTCGCCACACTTTGATCTATTTATTTTATTGTAATAACTAACAAACAATTGTGTAAAATTACGGAGAAGAAAATTGGAAAACCATCCGTAATTGAGTCAAAAACCATTGTTCTTGTAGAAACTTATCTGTACAGGATGTGTAAAAATATTATTCCAGAGGATAACATTATAATTTCAAACAGAGTAAGTAATGAATTTTATGCTAAATGAAAGCTCGTCGAAAACGGGATTTATCAGTACTAAATAGTAAGAGTTATCAAAACTTTTTAACGTTGAACTTAATAAATTTTCAGAAATTTTACACTTTTTTTGCCGTAGAAAATTAAGGCACCAATAATTCAAAAAAGGAATAAAAACTTCTTCTAGGATATTTTTACATGATTCGACAGAGCTCGTTGAGTTCTACAAAACTATATATGTTAAAATTTTTTTAAGCCATTTTTCTGCGATAAATAATTCAAAAAAATACTTGGAAAATTCTAAAAAAAATGTTAAGAAGTGCATTTTTTTATATAAAAGAAAAATATTCGATTTTGCAATAAAATTAGCATTTTTCATTATTTTAATACTCACAGACGCTTCAAAATGAATGCTAATTTTATTGCAAAATCGATTATTTTTCTTCCATATAAAAAATGTGTTTCTTAACATTTTTTAAAATTTTCCAAGTAGTTTTTTGAATTATTTATAGCAGAAAAATGGCTTAAAAAATTTTTAACATATACAGTTTTGTAGAACTCCTACGCCAAAAAAAGTGTAAAATTTGTGAAAATTTATTAAGTTCGACATTATGAAGTTTTGATAACTCTTACTATTTAGTACTGATAAATTCCGTTTTCGACAAGCTTTGATTTGGCATAAAATTCATTACTAACTCTATTTGAAATTATAACGTTACCTCCCTGGAATAATATTTTTATACGCTCTGTATGTTGAAAATAGGATCTTTTGGATGATTTAAAATTATACATTCATTGACAATAAGCCTTCGATTTACTTATGCTGAGCTACAAAAGGCTACATGATCGATCATTCATAGTGAATGCGAATACAGTGTAGACAAAACATAATTTATTAAGTGAATCGAAGAGAATCAAAGATCGAAAAGTAAGATCAGTAGAGCAGTAAAAAGTGAAAGACACCATTTTGAAAATCTAAGTCGACCATCTGAAAGAGCCTAATCGATTATATATAAAATATCTATTTTCTCAACACTTCATCCAGAATGAAGGATGAAAATGGACTCCTTTTGCAACCTCCATCTGTCCTTGCAGTATTTTCTTGATAATGCACCATAAAATATAATCAGACTTTTTTGCCCAAATTTGGGCGGACTTGACAATAATTAGTATTTGATTGAATCTAGCTGATCAAGATCCATTGATTATTGTTTTTTGAATGGATTCAAATATTTATGGTTTTCTAGAAATTCCATAACAGTACTTTGAAAAAAACTATTCAGACTATCAGATGCAGTCACAAACGAGGTTTCGAATGATATATTGGAAGTACTTATTGCATTTAGACTTGACTAAAATACTCAAAAAACAATGTCACTCTAGAAATCATTCAAAAAAAAACATCATTCGACATTTAGTTGTATTTCTTAATTTTATTTTCAATATCTCATTGAAATATGCTGGCTTTTTTTATCATAGAGAGATAACAAAGATTGAAAAAACATGAGTAAATGTCAAGTCAAACGATTTATTTATTCTCGAGATATAAGTCTGCCAAAATTGAAAATGTAATTACAAAATATGTGACAAAGAAACTTTTGACACTTTTAAGTCAATTTTCTTCTTGAAAAAAAAACGATCGAAGACCAATGGTTTTTTTATCAACATATGCGAGCCAAAATTTTCTATTCATCATGTTTATGTGCGGAAATTGAAATGAATGACGCTGTGAGAAATCCGACTTTATCCAGCAACGACTGAATGCCGAATCAGACAATAACAAGCCGCCGCTTAGTGTCAGTATTGGTTAATAGTTTAGTGAACAGGGAAAAATTCTAGGAATGAATAGAATGGCAGCTCTTCAATCAGACACGGAACGCCAGGTTTTAGATCAATTGACTTGTGACCTTCATACTTCTAAAACGAGTTGACCTAGAAAGTTGAACTTTTCAGAAAGTTTGAGTAGCAATAAGTAGTAGTTGTAAAACAATTTTCATTAAAATCGATTGCGAGAGTCTGATTTATTCTTAATTTATGCTTGGAATATCAGTGATACAATGTGCATGCAGCTGGCTCTTAGGCATAGAAATTCATGTTGGCACATCCTCGAATGAAAGATTAGAAGAGTTGACCAACTCTTACGATAGTTTGAAATGGGTTTTCAAAATCTCAAATTACTTTAATTTTCACGAGCAATCAGAACATCAATAACTTAATGAAGAATTGCGAGAAGAAGAGAGGCAACCTTTTAGAATAAAAAACAATTCTATCTCTTGAAACGGCATACATCGAGCCGTTGATTAGCTTCAGAGATGCTACCAAGTCTCGTTTTATAGATGATGACTATCTACTTATGATAATATAATCTATTTGTCAATAATCAAATTTAAGAGAAAAATCAGAGCACTATTTCAAAGTTGTTCCGATAATTAAACACTAATAAAAAAAATGTCCGAAATTTTGATAAATCATCAGTATGTTGTACATTTTACGACAATATTCGAAATGTTCTTCAAATACATGAATGTTTCAGGATAAATTTACTAACAAATTTTTACTCTCATGTCTTATATTTTTATTTATTCTATAAGTAAAACAAAAATATTGGAATGTTTATACATGAATCAAAATAAACTGAAAGAAAACAGATTACAACTGAAAAAATTTACTTGATAGTGTTTTCAAATTGATCATACTCAATATCGACAGGAAATCATTTTTTATGATAATCGTGTCTTTGAATGTTTCAATAATCGGTTTCTTTAGATCAACTTCTTCATGCATAGTGTCGCTCAACCACTTAAGTCCTTCATAAAGACCATCACCAGAAGTAGCACAAGCCATTTGCAAATGCCATTTGGTATTTGTATAAAATTTTTCCAGATTAAGTTTGTCTCGAAGGTCGTTGCATTAGGTAAATCTTGCTTATTGGCAAAAATAAGAATAGGTTGTCCTCGAAGTTCTTCTTTACATGTCATTAAATGTAATTCTTCACGTGCTTCATAAATTCTGTCTCGATCATTTGAATCGACAACAAAAATAAGTGCTGTCGTATTTTGATAGTAATGTCGCCATAATGAATGAATTTTATCACGTCCACCAAGGGTGTGGGTGTGAGTCTTTCTTTCATAAATACTTATACCCGCACCTAACTCCACACCCATTCATCCAAAAATTCATTCCAAAACTTTTATTAGCGCAGCATAATTTTGGCCAATATCTTTAACAGTTAACTCGTGATGTCTGTTTTTCCGGAAAAATTATCTAGCTGAGTTGGAATTTCAATATTATAGCGTTGAAGTTTATCAAAGTACTTTTACCATAGTTATTTTGGCAGACTAAGATCTAGATTTCTCGAAACTGTAATATATTCACTTATCAGTGATTCTTTTTCGAACTGCATTGACAAAACAAGAAACCACAATGATAAACACATTTATAGAGGGATGAAGATCCTAAGTACATTATAATCGATCTAGTCTGCACAAAAACCATGAGAATGTGGATAACATTCAATCTCCTGACAAATTTATTTTTTCAAATAATCATTAAATAGAAGTTCACATTTCACTGAAATAAGCTTCTCTCATTTGACGTAATTTTGCGATGAGTTTTTCGATGCCTTTGACTGTTTTTCCATTCTCGAATGTCACCCGTTTACTTCCATTAGCCCAATCGATTTGCACCCATTCTGTGCCACCATCTGCACAATCAGGACATCCAATTCTGTCATCTAATGATTGAAAGGCTTCTAAATTTACGAGATTGACAAGGCTGACCCATTCGCTCGAAGGTAATGGAAGTTTTGCATAAACTGGAGGATAACTCGCTTGATTAAAGTTTGCCTTTTTCAAAGTAATTACTTGAGGTGGAGTGGATGTCAAAGTTATCGATTTACGACAATATCCAATACATTCTCCAAACGAAGTTCCACTCGAAATTGATCGTACATTGCTCTTCTCTATACTGTCGCCATCCACCACCAATGCCAAAAGTGCGAGAACAAAGATAAGCCAACAAACAGATTGCATTGTGTATCAAGCTTTTTACGCCTAACAAGTAATCAAGTATGAGAAAACAAATGAATATTTTTTTTTTATCACTGATAATGGTAACAGAAAAGTGAAGAAAAAAAACCGATGCCTTCCACATGAAAAATAACATCTGTGTATATTTGTCCACCATTTAAGGACAAAATGAAATAAAAGAAAGCGATATTTATTGTCATAATAATCATTTAATATATTATTTTCTTTTTCCATATTTAATTATGTTTCAGATATTAAATAAATTCTTGATTCATATGTGTTTACACATCGAAACAATGAATAAAAATGAAAAAAGTGACGATTTGATCACTGTTCGTTTCGAAAAATTAGAATCAAGTAACGCTTGTATACTAATGAGCACTTATTCATGTAGCTTCATGTTGACTCTTAAAACTTTGAAATCTGACTTCTCAAATTTTAGCCATTGAGATGTCCCTCCTCCAATAGATCAAAAAATTTTTTTGTATTTAATTCAAATGATTCATTTCTAGTCGCATAGAGCTCATTGGGCTGATCACAAATATCATATTTTTATTAAGGACTGACTGAATAAGAAGAAAAATATTAGGACTTTTTAACCAAAAGTTCATGTTAACGGATAAACAGATGATTAGACCTGTTCGTCTGCCTCTAATGTTTTTACTCTATATAAGTTGTTTAAATACACATATATGAGTACATTGTGAGGAAGGTGAATATCGTAAAAAAGAAAACAATATAGTAAGTCTGCGCTCTCTTAATATTGATGTCCATTGAGTATGATAAATTTTGGATAATAGCTTGAATGTTACTCTGAAATACATATCTTCTATATTTGTTTGTCCAACTTTGTATATTCGAAAAATATAAAACAGATCAAACTGAAGTGTTAACATATGAAATTACTCAAGAATGTTTATGATGGAAGTATTTTATTGAAAACAACTAAAAAATACAACTTTTAGAAAACATTTTGCTTTTCTATAGATGTAACTGAATATCTCGAATAAATATAAAAGGATTAATGAAGTGTAACTTTAGAAAATTCTAAACAGTTTTCTATCATTCATAAACTATCATGCATCGAAGGAAACAATTGTTCTGTATCGAAGATACAGTATTTTTCTGAGTGAGGAATCTGAAAAGTAATTCTTCTAGTTGCAAGATCACGTCTAACATAGAGCGCTACTATATGATTCATCTATGATGATACCTGATATGCAAATGGAAGAGCTACAATTCTCTCACCGATGTTAGCACGATTCAGAAATAATTCTAAGTTTCCTATATTGTCAAAGGAATAGAGTCGATGAATTCGGTAAACGAGCTGTTCGATAGAGAGTATCAATTTGTTCTAGATTAGCACCGTTTTGTTCTTGCATGATTTCGGTTCTTATTGCAAGATCAGGGATGCTGTTATTATTATTGTTTCGAGGTAGATTGCCGTTATCGCTGCCAAAACATTGAAGAAACATTTGTCGATCAGAATTACGAAAGATCGTTACAAAATCGATTTGTTTTGAGTCATCCCCACTCATTTTTCTGTGTGCAGATTTCGATGTTTTTTAATATTTGTCAAAAAAATGGGTTACGGAGAATTGCATGTACTGAGTATAACTAACAAAAGATACCACTTTTTTCTCTCTGTGTCGTCAATGTAGGAAACAACCAACTATATATTGACATAGCGAAAGAAAGAGAACAGAGAAAGAACGGAGTTCTACACATATTCGTTCCTTCGGAAGTCAGCAATAGATTTTTAGCAACGAAGACGTGTTTAGAAAAAGCGATCGTCTTTCTTTTTTGTCATATTTCTCTGACACATGCTCGTTCTGAATGACAGAGAAAAAATCTTTCTCTCATATTTTTGTTTCTTTTTCATTCTGTTTCTGCACTAGACGCTGATCAACGTTCTCGGTTGTGAGGCCGTCAACTGCTTCTTTCTTGATTCTATATTTTTTCCAGGAGTGTAATAGTTAAAACTTGAATTCAATTATTACATTACTAATCTATACCAAAATTTTTGTATCTATTCATCATTTCTATCTAAAACAAGATTCAAATCAATAAACCACATTCTTCAATACCTAAAGAGATTCTAGATTCTGACTATTATAATGATTTATAATGTAAGTAACTTTTTTCGCTATAACGTTTTCTCTTTCTCAAACAATTAACTGATTTGATTTACTTCTCAATACAAAAGAAGAAGTTAATAATAAAAATCTTTTTAATATGTACAACAATAACGAATAGAAAAATTTCAGAATTTTAGTAGTCTGATTATTTGATTTGCTTGTACAATGAACTGTAGTAAACTCATGTGGCCGATGCTTATTGTTGAGCTCTTCTTTCAGCCTCTTGCTTAATCATCATCTGCTGGATGTGTGTTGGTAAACCTGGATTGAGACTCAAGGCATAGGGTAACAGTGTTTTGGGCATATCACCAAAATCAACTAGAATTTTGATAAACATGGTATCATCTCTGACATACGGATTGTCATCTTGTTCAATCATTGCCAATGGAAAAAACTTTGGTATACCACTTGCTATGTTCATGTCAAATCTTGGCCGCTGAAAACTATTCGATCTTATATCAGGTCGAAATGAATCGATGATATGTCGTTGTGCAGGAGTTTGATCATACAAACAGAATGTGACTTTGTAATTAAATGGGAATTTGAGTATTGCATCATTTAAACCACGCATAAGCACAAAAAAAAGTGAAATATGTGTACGACGAGCATTTCCATCACCATTTAAATACAAACGTGCTCGCATTTTGTAGCCAGTTGGGGATGAATAAAATGGAGGAGAATAGATTGAAGTTTGTCGTTCAGATTGAGCATCAACTAGAAATGAACCAAATCAAATAGGCAAAAGCAGCATATGGGTAAAAGAAAAAGAGAAATTTAATTGTTCGGCGAGATTTACAATCTATCTTACAGATCCACCGACATATTACTTGTATAGTAGAAATATTCTAATTCTATCTTTCGGTGCCAATATGTCGTTTCACTTACTCATTTTCTCTCTAAAATTCGCAATTTTCCACACAGATATTCCATCATAGGAAACATATTGCATATCATCGATCTTTTGCTTGATTGATACTAAATCTTGATGAAGAATGTCTTGATTAGGTTTTAATCCTTGCACAAAACTGTTTGTTTCTTCTACAGATAATTTAATTTGTGAAAAATCTTGTTCTAATGTTTGAAGTTTAATTTGACATTGAAGTAATTCATTGTTCAGACGTTGTCCGTCATCATTCAATGTTTCTATTCCATCAGATAGGATACTAAGTGTTTCATATAACTCTTGGAGATGAGTTGTAATAGAATTATCTACTCCCACAGTTGTTGTGTGTGGAAGATCAGTATCCATTTGTGTGCTCAACGACTGTGATCCTATTTGACGAAGAACTTTGATTATGGAGTCTTGATGTTGTTTACTCAAATAGTGAGCTGCTATTTCGCAACGGTGAATCTAAATAAAATGCATTTTTAGATACATAAATTCTAGCTCGAGATTTTTTTTATACTTGTTTGTCACAACCGAAGTCTTCCAGTGAACAGTCTACGATGACTTTTTTACATTGTGACACTTTATGTTCATTGAGTTTGTTGACTGAGTCGAATTCTTCCTCACAATGTTCGCATTTTGGCCTCGAATGAGATTGATTCAAATGAATCTAGGTGACAGGAAATAAGAGAACAGAAGTTTTAGGAATAAGATAGTCAAAAGATATATTACTAGATATGTGTTCAAGTCACCAGTCCAATTACAAAAAGAACAATCGATAGGTAGAAACTGCATATCAGTTTTAAAACCTCGATCAATCATCATCTACATGAAAATGTATTATATTTTTATATTTAAACAAAAATAAACATCATACTTGATTTCGTCGTATTTCTATTTGGCACTGTGGACATTTGAGTATGGATCTATAAATAAAAACAAAAGATTGTTGAATTGATTCGATAACGAAACTTACCCAACTTGATTCTCAAAACATGATTGACATTGTCGATGGCCACATATGCTTGACTGTACAGGATCCCGTAATATATATGAACAGATAGGACAAATATACCTCTGATCGAGAGTATTTTTATTTCTTGCATCTATACCAGCCATTTGTGCTACTCTATTTATAAACAAAAATAAATATTAATCAGTATCAAATAATTATTTTAATATCTGTATTAAAATCTATTGTGAGTTATCTGATGTCTTCTTGAAATCTGTAAAAATATATGGTCAAACCAAAAAATATTCGAACACTTAAGACAATCTCGTCCTTGTTCAAAATAGATTTTAGTTTAGGAACAAGCAAAATTGCATGAAACTTTCAGGATATGTTGAAAACTAGTGTGAAGAGACTATGGTGAAATTTTCAGCCCTATACAGTGTTGCCAGATGCTAAATTTGAAAATCCGGAATTCCAACTTCAAAATCCTGAAAATTCCGGATTTTTTTTCTGAAATCTGGAAAGATTTTTTAGAATCAGTCTTGATTGCTTAACGTGCATTTTCCTCATCAGATTATCAATAATGTTATTCTTTATTTTCACAAAATATATTTGAATGAAACAATAGAAAATAAAACACATCAAGTACATTCTTTTAGAAATTTAAATTCTTCTAACCATTCAGATCTGAATAATCTTTTCTTTTTCTAGCTTATCTTTTTGTTTTATATTAGTTTCAGTGATGTTGGGCTGTGCTCTTAGTGATAGTTCATTTTCTACTACAATTTCTTCTTCTTCATTTTGATCAAACATTCCATTCTGAAAATATAAGAGAAAAATAAATGCTGAGTACAAATTATCATTTTTTTTACTGTCGTTGATGAAAATAAAAG